AGATTTGAATTTCAGTAAAAATGTCCTGATCTTTGAAGACACAAGAATATACAGTTGTAGGGTGAGTGAAAATTATCAGGATTTTCCACCCTCCTGCCATTAGCATTAATGATAGATCCCTGAGGTCCTACACGCATGCCTGATGGTGGGCACCTGGAGTAGGAGGTGGACCTGCATAGATGGGCACACCTGGGCTGAGAGATTGGGCTTATAAGGGCGGCGTCACAGGGACACCAGTGGAGTAGAAGAGCAGAAAGAAGAGCAAGAGAAAGAACAGCAGAGAAGCAGAGCCCACAAGAGAACACCAGAGAGCCCAGTAAGAGTGAGGATTCGCCGGGGGCTGGGAGGCCTGCCTGCACCCTCTCCCCAGGCCCCCTGCATGCTGTGTACTTGGTTGCCAAACTACATGTAAAATAATAAAAGCCTGAAAAAGCCACCGAGGGCTCCAGGACTCTCCTTTACTCACCTGCCTGGATCATAGAGATCCTGCTCTGTGCCTCGCTGGCGCTACAACAGGGCACTCTTAGCGATTAATAAATCCAAATCTCTTGATTTATAAGTGAGAAAACCAAGGCCCAGGATGGAAGATGTGGCTGCCCCAGAGTCATGGGTCACCAGCGAAGGATTTCAAGGCCAGGTCCCATGTCCCCTGCCACAAAAATGCAGGCTGCCCCTCAACAGTGCACTTGACCTTTAGGTTTGCTCAAGTATCCCAAGAGGATTCACTTCACTCACTTCCCATACCCATGAAGTCATCCAGCCCACACCGAGGGCTTACAGCAGCCTTTCCAGTTGGGACAGCACGTGGAGAGGTTACAGCACAGACCCAGAGATGCCTGGCCCAGGTGTGCGGGCCTGGCTCCACCCCTTCTACCTGCATGGCCAGGTAGAAGTCTCCTCCCTACTCTCGCCCTTAGTTCCCTGTCTGTTGTAGGGTCAGGAGCGACACAGGGCAGGTTTTCTATGATCCAGCAGACCGGGTAAAGGAGGACAGAGTCCTGGAGACCTCAGTGGCTTTTGCAGGTCTTTTAATGGAATTTACCAGGCATATGGCAGGCAGGGGTGCTGGGGGGCCGGGAGGCTGGCAGAAAAGCCTGATATTGTTTACCTTGCCCTACACTGTGAAGCAGGGACAGCAGCACTCCAGTCCCAGCACCAGCGTGAGAATTAAATAAATTCCTACACAAACGCTTACAGCATGACTGGCCCAGCGTGAGCGCCGCAAGGCCCATGTTATCGATACCCAAAAAGGTTTCCCTATGTAAAACATGCAAATATCCTAGAAAAATGTACGTCCTACAAAAAGATAGTAGCAGCTGGTTCACAGAGGACAAGGAGGCCCAGAGAGGTTGAGTAACTTGCCCCAAGTCCCACAGCAAGGAAGCAGAGTCTTATACAAGCTCTGTGGTTTGCTCGAGAGTTACTCCCCAATTCATGATTTTCCAAAATTGCTTCCCAACATTTCTGGTATCACTTTCCTCAGTATATTTACACCAGTAGATTCTCGAACATGGTTTGAACTGTGGTGGTCCATTAACAAACAGAATTTTTCGACCCTTGGTTCTGCCTTCAAGAACTCAAAACCAACCTCAAATGTGGGCTGGCTGAATCCCCGGATGTGGACCTATGTTGTCTGAGGGTCAACTGTATGAGAAGCTCCACAGGCGCGGGGCCGGCTCCGGGGAGGCCATGCCTGTCTGGCTGCCTTTCCTTTACCTGAAAGTTCACGCCCAGGGCTTACACCAGGTGGAGACCCTGCTCCTGCCTGGCTTTCCACTCTGCCTTCCTGCTGCTCCTTCACAGGCAAACGTGGCAAGGCTGGCTAAGGCATCCTTCAAGGGGCCCAGAAATGTCAGGTCCATGGGATTTTATTTTTAATTGGAAGATGTGGATTTATTTTCTGTATTAATCTCTCCCTCCCTGTGCCTCCTCCCCCGTCCCCAGGTCAAAAAGTGTATGAGCTGAAGTTCAGAAAAGAAATGACAAGGGAGACGGAACAAAATGTAAAGCAGGAAAGAATTAAGAGTGTTAGAAAGTAACCATTTGTCATCAGGGAAATGCAGACGAAACCACATGAAGAAGCTACTTCTTAACCCCTGGGATGGCCCCAAATAAACCGTGACAACAATAAAAGGCACTGACTCTGCTGCTGAGGATGTGGGGAGTCACCCTGCCCAGCTGATGGGACTAGAAAAGCGGCAGTCACTTTGGAAAACAAACTGGCCGATCCTCAAGAGGTTAATCCGCGGTGACCAGAGGACCCCCACGCTGCACACCCAGGTATGCCTAACAGAAACAACACACAACAATTGTAGGTGACCCCCGACAATACATCACAGGGAGGAGCCCAATGCCACTGCCGGTGAGCGTGGAAACTGGTGCGGCCATTCTGGAAAGCCGTCTGGGTTTACCTTGAATAATTAAACATGGAAATAGTACTGACCAGCAATCCCACTGGTGGGCCTTTGAAGAACATGAAACCACCAACTCAAACAATTCCGTGCTCCACAATGCTGTGGAGGCATTTCCTACAATAACTAGGACGTGGAACAACCTAGGTGCCTGCGGACGGAGGACAAGGACGGGCGGCCCAGTCACACCCTGGAATATTCCCCAGCCGGAAGACAGGATGCGGCCATTTTCAGCAATATGGACGGGGTTCGAGGGAGTTACGTGTGGTGAAGCAAGTCAGGATGACTGAATTCTCTCTCAACAAAGCTGTCACATTTCTTAGGAGATATAAAACGGGTTAGCGTCAAATCCCTAGACTATCCCAGGAGAAGTTGTGTTTTTGTGAATGAGAAATCATAATTGCAGAAGTGGCAAAAACCCAAAAGCAGGTAAAGAAAAAAAATCAGAATGTCTACACAGAATGGGGAGGGGGAAATGATTCCTATTTGACACAATTTCATTGCGTGGAGATTACATAACCCTAAAATCAGACCTTCTCACCTGAAACTCTCAGTTCCAAAAATAAAGGATTTAGAGGAGAGGTGAGAGCAATAATTTAAAAAAAAAAGTACAGACTAACTTTTGAGACTGAATATAAAAATTTACAAGTGTAAGAATCCTCTGGCATATCATCTCCATGTTTACAAAATAAGATTCTGGCTGGCATCTAAAATGAATCTAGAAATTGAACTGAAATTGAACTACTAAAAGCTAAACCTTCACGTTCTGGAAGTCAGCAAAGGAGACAGAAACACTGGGCTGGCACCATTTCCGATGCACGCAGAGGAATGTGAGAGTAAGTGCAGGTGCACCAGGCTACCCGCCCGGGGCTCCTCAGTGGGGCAAGTGGAATCAGCGCCTCTCAGACCACAGTGAGGTCTCCAGCTGCAGCGGGTCAAGTGATGGGAATCCACGGGGCCTGATTATCCCAATAATCAGCACATTACTGGAAACAGAACTATAAGACTGCAGAGAATTTCATGTTTTGGAGTCTTCAGCTGCCCATTTATTAATAAAATGTTCTTTTATGGTGTGTTAAGCATCATTTGTATGGAAAATCAGCTTACCGTGTTTTTTAAAGCTGGGCAAGGGAAGCACTTGCAGAATCCTGCACTCAGCTCACAATCTCGGAATTTAAAGAACTAAAAAGAACCTCCTTCACCTCCCCTATCAAGGTCTAGGTAACCCCTTTGTAAACGTATTTAATATTTACACTTCATCATTCTCCAAATCCTTGACTGAATTACTCGGTTGCTATCCTGTGGCTCAAGGTCAGAGTACAAGCTCCCGCCATGCCACCCCAAAACCATCAAGCTCAAGAGGGTATGGAATGTCCCTAAAGCTGGCATGGGGAGCCTGTGGCAGAAGCATGGAGGCTCCCCCACCCCACCTGTTGGTGTTTGGGCCACAACTTCCTCGTCCAGCACAGCAGGTGCTGATTACCCACCAGGGAAAGCTCCTCCACCTCCCCAACAGGTGGCTGAGCGCTGGGGGTGAGAACTTGGCCCAGGAAGCACCTCCCTCCTGCCATGGATGTTGCCCAGCCCGGTGGTCCCTTTCTGCAGCTAACTTCATTAAAACCTGGCTTTTCAGGAAAATAATGGTTTTGAGTAGGTGACTGTGGTCAGCAAAGGCATCTCTCACCTCTGTTCCTGCCCCTCCCTCCAAGCCACCCCCTCAGCCCAGCAGAACTCTAGGGGAGGGTCCTGCTCAGGCCCAGAGAAACCAGCAGCCGCCTGGCCCCAAGCAGACGCGCAGCTCAAACCGCTGCTTCCCCGGCAGAGGCTGGAGAGGACTTCTGGTTTTGGTTCCTCCCCTGGCATCGGGGCTACACCCCGCAGGCATACGCATCATGTTTGAGTTTTAGGGAAGCGAGGTGTTTCTAGTTCGGCACCCTGTGATTGTTAAGAGAGGCTGATTTTTTTTTTTTTCACTCTCACCAGAAAGCAAAACTCCGGCATATTAACTTCACCTTCAGGCCTAGGGTCGCGCCAGCCCGGACAGGCAGCGCCCGGGAACCAGGCCGACTGCCCGGCCGCGGGGGTTGTTATTCTTTGCCCCGCGCCAGGCCCCAGCAGCCCAGGGTGACAGCTCGGCGGCGCGCGGGGCTAGGCTTTACCAGCGAAGTGTGTCCACCCAGCTGGGGACTCAGACGCGCAGAAGAGCCGAAACCTGACTTGAAGAAGCAAGTTCGCGGCGCGGAGCTGCGCGCCCCAGAACCCCGCCCGCCTCGGGGCAGGCAAACGCCGGCACAGACGCGTCCTCGGTGCCCGCGCCGGGCGCAGAGCTCGGGGTCCGGCTCCCCGGCTCCCAACAGCCGCGGGCCGGCGCCCACGACGGCGGTACCCGAGCCGGCCGCCGGCCCCCACCTTCCAGCGCCGCCTCGGACAAGCGAGCCCACCTGGGCGAGCCACGACCGAGCGGCGCACGCTCTCCCCAGAGTCCACCCCAGGGGGGCGCCGAGCCAAACTTCCCGGGGCGCCGGCCCGGAGCAGCGCCCAGCGCGCCGCGCGCCCCCAGCCCGGGCCCGGCCCCGCGCGCGCGCTCACCTGCGTGGGGCATGGTGATGGTCTCGTTGGCGCCGGAGCCCACGTTGAAGATGACCACGGCCGAGGCGTTCTGCAGGGACGCGGTGCGGATCTTCTCCCCGTAGGTGCAGTTGCCCTTGGGGATGAGCGCGATCCAGCTCCTGCCGCCGGCCGGCGCGGCGAACTTGGTGTTGGGGTCGCAGGCCAGGCGCTCGTGCGCCGAGCTCGCCAGCACCACCTCGCCGCGGGCGTCCTGCTTGGGCGAGTGCTCGCCGTAGCGCCCGCACTCGCTGCGCTCCGAGCGCAGCTCCGGGCCGCCGCCCGCCGGCCCGGCCCCGGGCCCCGGCGCGGGCTCGGCGTAGGTGATGTTCACGAAGGCGGTGTACCACTCCTCCTTGCCGGCCACGGTGAAGTCCAGGCAGAGCAGATGCACGAAACAAAAGGAGAGCAGCCATGTTGAGAGCGCCAGGCTGCGGCACGCCTGGATGAGCGACAGCGCCATGGCGAGCCGCCGGGGCGCCCGCCCCGCCCCCCGCGCGCCCCCGCCCCGTGCCTGCGCCCCGGCCCCGGCCGAGCTCGGGCCGGCCGCGCCTCCCGCTCACGCGCCGGCCGCAGGGGCCGCGGCTCCGAGCGCGCGGGCGGCGCCGGCCGCTTCTTCCCCTTTCAGGCCGAGCGCGGCGGCCGCATTTCGCCGCCCGGGCGCCGGCGGGGCGCGGGGGCCGGGGGCGCTCGGGGCGTGCGGGGGGGTCCGGCTGCCGAGCGTCCTGCGCCTGGGCCGGGCCGCGCCGTCTCTCATGGGGTGGCCGGGGGCTCGGCGCGCGCGCGCGGGGGCGGCCCTGCGCCCTCCAGCCCCGGCGGGCGCGGCTGCTCGCCCGCCCCGAGCGTGGCCGAAGGTCCCGGCGCCGGACCGAGCGCTCGGGCGGGCGGCGGCCCCGGCGGCGGCGCCCGGGGACCCTCGGCGCGAGGTCCTGGGTCCGGGGCGCCGGGTTCCTGGCTCCGCCGGTGCCGGCGCCGGGCGCGCACTGGCCGCGGGAGGGGCGCGCGCGGGGAGCCGGAGCCCGCGGGCAGAGGAGTACGCGGCCGGCGTGTCCGCCTGTGTTTGTGTGTGTATAATGTGTGCGTGCAAGGAGGAGCTTGGTGTGATGTCAAAGACTCGGGGCCCGCTCGCCGCGCTCCCCGGTCTCGCTCGGTGGGCAGCAGCGACCTCTGGCGGCCCCGCGGCGGCCCCGTCTGCGATGGGGTCCGGGTGGAGGCGACCGGGCTGGACCCTCGAACCTAGGAGCGCAGGAACAATTTCCTGCGCCTTAAATACGGAGGGAAGCCTGTGGCTCCCTCGTAAAGAGCCTTTCCGTTGGCTGGGGGACCCATCCCAAAGCCAGAGGGCTCCCGGAATGTGTGGGGCACAGAGGGTGAGCTGTACGCGCGCAGGAACTTCTCCTGGGGGTTGTTAAACTCGGGCGCGCAGCCGCAGTTGCTGATTCAGGACACCTGGGGTAGGGCCCGAGCCTGCTTTCCCGCCAGGTGCCCGGGTGATGCCCGTGCCGTGGTGGAGGTGGGGGGCGCACCGAGTAGGACGAGGACAGCTGGAAGCCAGCTCAGCTCCTTAACAATTAAGGAGGTGGAGAGCTTTTCACACCCCCAGTTTCCTTGGCCAGAGATACCTGCCATACCAAGTCTCCAAAGCAATTAGTAGGATGATTCTCAGTCACCCACCTGGGCCTTCCACCCGCTCTTTCAGAGGCCCCAGGACCCAACTCATGCTCAAACTCGAGGCCGGTCCTCCCCCTCAGGAGCTCGGTATGGTTCCAGCTTTGTGTTAGTCTGTGAGTGACGGGCCACCCCTGTCCTGTCCGCTCAAACTCCTGCAGAGTACCCAGCTACCCCAGTATAGAAGCGGACACAAAAAGGACTTAGGAGAATTTGTCTCTGTGGTGTTGGATGTGCTGGCTGTGTATGTTTTCCTGACTTTTCATTTCAGAAAATAGGTGTCTGTGCCATTGGGAGGTGGCTTGCTATAGTGCCTGATGCCAAGGAGGCAAAGTGGAGAGTCCTGGCCGCCTGTCCCTGAGCCACCAGAGATCCGAGGGAGCAGCCCATCAGCTAAGCCACCAGCAGGATCTGCATGGAAGCCATTAGCAAACTCAAGAGGTTCCCCCAACCTCAGAAGCTCTTACATGTTTTTCCAGCTAAAACCCTTGGAGAATCTGCATCCTAGAGAATGCATAAGTACCCCTCTTCATTTCTTTCTCTTGAAGAGTTAGATACTGGAGAGATGGCAGGACCAAGGAGGCATCCTCAAGCCTGGGCGATGGGTTAGTTACAGGGGCACTGGGCATATAAGTAAAATATTGAGTATAACGGCATCTAGGTTTCTGGTGTTGGAGAAGTTTACATATAGGAGGAGCAGGCTATGAAGAACCCCCAGATGTTGCATTTAGTTAAATGAGTATGAAATGATTTTTCAAAAGCTACATATGTGTGCATAGATGTGTGTGCGCCTGTGGCATGTGTCTGCAGCAACAATGTGCCACAGCTGGCTGTGTTCAGAGGCCAGAAGCAGTGGACACATTGAGTGGCCAGAAGATCCTGGTTTTATGCACCAACCCCTGTGAAAAGGAACGAGGGCTGATTCCAGAGTTGGCCAGGAAAGCACAAATCGAGCCTGGAAAGTGAAAAGTGAGCCAGTTAGTTGGAGGGACATACGGTGTGGCTGAAAGGACCCTGGAGCTGACTATTAGGTAGGTGCTCCCGCTGGCCAACTCTAAGACACCCTAAGAACAAAATAATGACAGTAACTGCAGCCTGTTAAGAAAATGGAACCAGGAATCCTTGCTGATATTGCTGAATAAATGATGCTAGAATAAATAAATAAAGGGGGAGGAAGGAACAGCTCTTCTGATGGAAGAAAGCCAGCTTTCTGGAAGTTGGTGGGGAGTCCCAGCTGGTGGGGGTGGAGGGGCTGTCCCAGCAGCAGGCAGCCCAGCCGGGCTAGAACTAGCCAGCTTCCTGTTCCTGGTGTCTGGAGGGATTCTGATTTCAGACAGGGAGGAGGCCATTTGATGAAATGCATGCAGCAGATAGGTGTCTGAGTCAGAAACAGCGGCCACAGCAGAGAGGAAGTTACTCCAATTCTTGAATGTCGCCGACGGGGCTTGCCTTACCAAGTGCTGGGCCTAGACCCATTCTTCATCTCTTTGCTACCCTGCACCGCTTCATGACAGGAAGGCTAGGTCAGCTTGAGAAAACAATGAAAATGTTTGAAAATACAATGCTTCTACATCTATATATTGCAATGGCTCAATAAAAGTGTCATGTGGAGGGGCCTCCTGGTGGCGTAGGGATTAGTCTCAGCCCTCTCATGCTGTTATTGCTGCAGGCTGAGTTTGATCCCCGGCCAAGAAGCTGAACCACATGGCGCAACAGACCTCTCCTGTCTCACCCGCTGCGCCCCTCAGCTGTGCATTTCAGTAGATCTTCCTGTTCTGCTCCCCACTCTGTCTCTGGTGAATCCTCTCACCCCCTGTACCTCTGGCCTGCACCCCAGTTCCTGTATGCATAAATAAATAAATAAATCTTTAACAAAAATAAAACATTAAAAAAAGTTTCATGTGGAGAAGTTAATGTGCAGAACGACACTGTTTGATCACATTGTATTTTTTTATTTTACACAAATTGATTTGTTGATGGGCTTGTAAGCAGGAAAGCTTGCTCAAGCGTCAACAAAGGCCCTCTCTTCAGAATTAACTCTCAAATAACTATTTCAATGACTAAAACTGGGGAAAACCCTACACAGCATATTCCACTAGCTGGAGGGTCCAAACCCCTATTACAACAGGGGAATCACAGCACCTCGAGAGTCATGGATGCCATTTTTATTTTTAAAATCCATTTCCTGTATTCCTGCTGCTCTGTTTGCTTCTGCATGGCCTCTCCCCCCACTGTCCATATTTGTTTGGAAATGATGTGCAGTAGGAACAGGGAGTTTGGCAGGAGGCAAGCCAGGGGCAGAGTCAGCCCTGCCACATGGGCCTGTAGATTCTAAAGGGAATGTAGATTGTGCATGTGGGGGAGCCAGGGCGACTCCAAGATTCTAAAGGGAATGTAGATTGTGCATGTGGGGGAGCCAGGGCGACTCCAAGGTCGGGTCAGGACACGTGCAGGAGGAGGAGGGGACAGAGTCTAAAACTTTTGATGTCCGAGCAAACGTGTTCATTTGCGCATATGCGACATAGGGTGACCCAGGCTGAGGTGACCCAGGCTGAGGCAGGCGTTGTTGGAGGCTGTGAGGAACAGATCCAGTCCTCCTGGGAAGTTTAGAATCCAGTTTTGGAGGCAGAGATCTTCATCAAAGAAGATAGCGTGCAGTCATTTTAAAATATGCACATAAGAATTCAGAGGGTATGTAATAATTCTACATGAAAAACGATAACTACAGGATGTTCATCAGCTGGATTCTGGATCCCGTTCAGTGCGGGTAACCTTACAGAGGCTCACACTCCAGGGCTGGGCTGGCAGGCGCCTCCTCCTGACTATATCCCAAGCCTCCAGGCAGTGTCTGGCCCCTGTCAGCACCAGCAACTGTGTTGAATAATAAATAGTAAGGAAGAGCTGTGATTCTGGACCACTTCCTGTATGTGCAATAAGCACTTTGCAGAGGCATTTCATGCTGGGGAGGATGATATGAGGTGGGTAGATGTAGTCCCATTGCACAAGGAGGAAACAGACTGCAGAAGTAGAGGTAGTGTCTGCGGCCCTGTCACTAGTAAGGGAGGGAGTGGGTGTTGCATTGCTGGAGTCCGCCCCAGGATGTGGTGGTAAGGTTTACACTGTTGCCTGGCACCACTTTGTCTTAAAAAATCACAGTCTTGGGCCTCCCTGGTGGCGCAAGGGATTAAGCACCTCACTAAGAAGTAATCTGCAGCCTCTGCAGCACGAGTTCGATCCCCAGCTGGCCAGGGAGAAACCCACCTGGTGAGGCAGACCTCCCCTGTCTCGGCGCTCCCCTCAGCAGTGTATTTCAGCCAGTCTGCCTGTTCTGCTCCCCACTCTGTCTCTGGTGAATCCTCTCACCCCCTGCATCTGTGGCCTGTATCCCAGCTCTTGTATGCATAAACAAATAAATCTTAAAAAAAAAAAGTCACAATCTTGTTGATAACTTGATTCTAATTTTTATCTTCATGTCTTTTGCTTCTGGCTAATTCCTTTCTTCTTCATTGCAGCTCTCATGCTATCGCTTTTCCCCGATTTGCACCTTCCTAGTCCATTTGCCTTCTATTGATGATGGACTGTGCTTTTCTGAGGTCATGCACTCGCCAGACAGCAGCACAGAAGAACTTTCAAGAAAAACAATTCCTGTCAACTTTGGCTGTAAGTATTGCAGTTGGGAATGGAAGGTTATGGAAAGGTTTTCTGGAAACTAATGATATTCATTTCTTTGCGCTTTGTTCCCTTACTAACTTCTCAAATTTCAGAACAATAGGTTATTTTGCTAAAAATAACCTTTTTTTTTTTT